CTTGGACGAAGGGAACGAAGAACTTTGCTCCTCGATCATAATATGTCGTGTGCATGACCGCAGAAAGGAAAAACCTTCATCCTCACGATTCGACGAGGAAACAATGAAAATCCTAAACAAAACAGCCGAAACGACGGTTTGCCATGGAAACATGGTCACTGAAGCATTCAGGAATTTAAATACCTCTTTGCATGGTAGGACAATTACCCTGGTATTGTACACCCGCAGAATCTTTCCCAAAACCCGGATTTAAACCAGAAACGCCGTCAGCGTCAACGTCTATCTTTGCAGCACTGTAGCCAAATCGGTTCTGTAGTACGGAGTAGAAAAATTGCGCATGAACTCCCACCGAACATCTTCCAATATCACCAATTGCGATTAACGCTACAGACTGGCTACTTTCTGGCAAAGGATACAGTAATACATTTTTGAATATCTCCCTAAATACCAGAGGTGTTCAAAAATAAAAGACTATTATGGCTTAATCCATTACAATGAAGTGACGAAATCCCTCAATGACTCACCATTACTGACGCGGAAATGCAACTGCGGATGACGAGATAACGGTGGCGTTAGAAACCAAGAGGAGTCTGTATTCCATGCAAAATATTTTCTTCATAAATAAACGCACTAGTGTCATCATACGATGTGTTATGCAGTTCGCAGATCGAGCACTGAGGGTGATCAAAAGGCTAATCACCGTTGATTTTCTATCGATGAAGAGTTATTCGTTTATATATCTCAGAGATATGGAAAGAATGTGTTTTCTCGTGAATCGAGCACTCCATTTTCTGATAGGCATTTATCAGCGACGCTGAGAGAGCTTAGTATACGAAACTCAAATGAAACTCTAATCGGAGCTAGGATTTATTCTTTTGTTGTTCTTCTTATGCCGATTCAGAGACCGCTGACACTCGTCAACTGCTAAAGCTGTTCTTCTGATGAAAGATTTCTTCAGAGACTGCTGACTGTTCCCATTCATCATGGCAGTATCATTCATAAAGCGGTAGATAATTAAAAACAGCCATAAATTTCAATTTCCTCAGAATGTTTATTCATCTCTCGCCCGCTTCTTCTCAATCCCGATTATAATGGTCAAAATCTAAATTAAGTTTGACTAAGCCGAGAGTTTCGTCTGCCAACTAATTAGCTATGATCAAAACCGTCAATCGGCGTTATCTGCTATGATGATATGTGTTTTTGTGTTCCCTGGGAAGTTGCAGAGTCGATAATAGGGTTTAAACCGATATTTTGGCTAGGGCAAAAGTTTTTCTCTTTCTATTGCAAACCTTGGTGTTCAAAAGTTGCAACTCTCTAGAGGGACTCTGCACGGACTGGATGAACTTTGACGTTTCTGTCACCCAGGACCCATTTAGTCATCAGCAGGAAGCAAAAAGCATGCCTTCCAGCTCCAATCCTACCAACCGCTACGGACAACAGGACAAATTTCTGATACTCTATCAACCTCCTATCTTGAAGAAGGCTCCTGAGGCACGAGCCGACACGTCGGCATTTGTCAATTATCTTATTGACCATGTTATGTTCTGCGTTTTTTTATTGACAACCCATGTTTTATTATATTTTTTATTATATGGCATATTGTGTCGGCGCGTTTGTAGTCATACTGGAAAAGGCAGCAAAAAGTGATTGATCAAGGCATAGCAGAGAATAATTATCCTCAGGCCAATAGCTCACCGGCTTTCTTCAAGAAAGGATAGGTCTCTGATTAGCTGTAGTTGCTTATGCCGCTGTTAGCAGCTACTGGTCGTTTAGTGCAGAAGGCGTTTCGGTTCGATGAGGGCAACATCGACAATTACAATTGACCAAATCAATTCTTTGAAGAAGGTCCGTTTTAGTTTAGTTTATCATCTGTCGGTGAGCATTACCGCATTGAGATTTTACATTTACATTGATTAGTTTCGTACCTCATTGTACCAGAAATCTTTAGAATGAGTGGTTACCTGGTTTTTACCTAGTTCTATATAAATCAGTCGCATATGTATACGATAGTTGAGCATCACTTGTTATACTTGCTACGGCTGTCCTAATGCGATTGGATATGATACAATTTTTGACTAACTCAATTACGAATCTTCGCAATGGGCAGGAGTCCTGTTGGATATTATTACAATAATTTACAATGGACATTCGCTCATTTCCTCATAACGTTTCATTTTTTCCTGATATCCGACCGTTTGGAATTTCAGTGCAAACAGATTACAGTCCAGCGTATTACGAGTAGTTAAAAAATGCCTAATTGATCATCATCAGTACGAGAAACTGTGCTTTCACCATCTTGCGTGGTATATTAGTAGTTTACGTAGTTGCTGTACAGACAATCAGCCTTGACTTTCTACCTGCCCTACATGATTCAAGCCGGAAATGCATAGGTTTATTGACAGATGACTCAGTCGACTAGTTGACCGATGCGGGGTTCCAGTGAAGTGCACGGTGGGCGATCCGTAACTCGCTTCATTTGCTCACTTCGTCTTTATTACCGGGAACAAGAAAGGGTGTGGTTGCGTAAAATCAAAACCGGAAAGGTGTGGGCACGTGCGCATTATTAGGCTAGACTCGCTACACCGGAAATTGGATCGAATTTACCATTGGATTGCGAAAGGAAACGGAAGATATGATTCAAAGGACATTTGTTTGATGGAATTCGGCATCACAAATAGGCATCGGGATGTTTTGTGCGTTTTTTTCGGACCGCCGTTTAAACTCAGTCCATCAAGCTCAAGCGGTGACAGCTTTCAGTGAGAGGTTAAAAAACGATCATCACTGAGGGAAGCAGAACGCGTGCTTGAGGCGGTGAGTTGCGGATGGAAGAACTGTTTGGTAGCTGTTAAGTTCATCGGAAGTCACATGATGAACGACTATTGACATTAGCCTCAGAAAGGTCATATTGCTGAGTCTGTTTCTTGAGACTCGATCTTCTTGTAATTTGTGTCTCGTCTTCGTCATGACACAATCACTTCATCCATTTTTTCAGCTATTCTT